TAGAATGAACAAATAGGTAACCATGAACAACCATTATTTGCATTACAAGTAACTTAATCTGAAATTCCACATAGGAACTTAGAGCTAATGTTGGAGCAGTGTCTTTCATTAATTAGTCCATGGTTTAAGCTGAATCCAGCAAAACAATTCATTGCATATTTCAGAAGTTGGGTACACTAACATACAATTAAAAAGATTATGAATTTACCATTCAAATAATCACAAGTTAAGATATATGTGACCTTTGGATATATATTAAACCGCCACAATTCTTTAATCATTACAGAAATATGAAATAAACGTATTTTCACTTTAAGCGCATGGTTAGTTAATATATTTAATTCTGATAAAAAATTGTTTGTTATTTCCCAATTATTTAATTGATCTACAATAATTAAATAGATCAATGTAACAAATAAAAATGAATATTTTTATTCGGGAGCCTAATATTTCCCAAGGTATATTTATTTGCTATAACGTTACAAATTAAAAAAACAATGACTTAGAACTTATTTTGCTATTATTTTGAATGAGATAAGCTTACAACTAATTCATGATTTAAGTTTTAAATATTTGCTACTAATCCCAGTATTTTAATATGATGAACTTAATAAAAAAATATTTTAATAGTTTGTTTTTATTTCATTTTAAATGAAAAAAATGAGGTAAATATAAGTAAAGGAACGAGATAATCAATAAAATTCATAAATTGAATATCTTATCTAATTAATCATTAACATTTGCAATATCTAATATTTTTTCAAATTTTTAGTGGGGGATTATGCTTTTAGGGTGTTAAGAGCAAATTTTTTTAATTACATAAAAACTCTTTTTAGTGTGTTGGATCATAATTTCCCTTAGCTATTTTATAATAGGCTCTAAAAAATATTATTAAAACCAAAAATGCTTGTTCTTATTCAAACTGTTGTTAAAATACATTCTTTATATAAAAATAATTTTAAATTATATTTTCATTTTCCTAATTTTTTTGCATCATTTTTCAAAAATTAATTAATTAATGAATATCAACTCTAAAATTCTCCTATAAGACCCCAAAAATTAAAAAATTCAATAAAAAATAAATCCTTTCAGGTCATCAGAACTCAAGATCAATCCATTCATTTAACAGGGGTTTTATATGAATAAAAACAATAAATTCAAAAAATAGTACATCTATTATATTAATAAATTGTAGCTAAGGAAAATGTGTTAAAGAAAATTAATCTTCTTTATAAATGGTTTTACTTTCAATTTATTAAAATAACATTGTAAAAGCAAATAAATGAATAAATATTTATGTTTTAAATTAAATATTATTTTAAATTAACTTATGCTGTAAGCCTACTATAAGGCTTTAAATATAAAATAAATATATTTATTGTTTTGTTAATGAAAATATTAAAAAATCTATCATTCATTTAAGCAGAAAAAAGCAGAAACTTCAAAATATTAAACATATAAAATAAATATCTTGTTAATATTTTTAACTTAGTTTATAATTAACTTAAAAAAACTTAAAAAATCTTCAATCTTTATTTAAGAAAAATAAAAATAATTTTTTATTTAAAATTTATTAATGCACTTAATTTACTTAAAAATAAAATAAAATAATTGATTAAAAATACATTTTATTTTTTTTCCTGAAAGAAAAAAATGTCATTAGCTCAAAACAAACATAAAACTTTGAATTGAAAATTCGAGTAAATTTTTTAAATTTA